CCATATAGTAATTAATCCCCCATAGTAATTCATCCCCCATATAGTAATTCATCCCCCCTATAGTAATTCATCCCCCCTATAGTAATTCATCCCCCCTATAGTAATTCATCCCCCCTATAGTAATTCATCCCCCCTATAGTAATTCATCCCCCCTATAGTAATTCATCCCCCCTATTAATTCATCCCCCATATTAATTCATCCCTCATATAGTATTTCATCCCCCATAGTACTATTCCCCCCCAAGTAGTAAGCCAAGTCCCCCCTGTGTCAATTTACTTACCTTTGCTCCGCGCGTTCCTCTCGCCGTGTTCCCGCGCCGTTCCGGTCTTCAGGGCGGACTGTGAGAGGAGCCTAGCTCCCCTCACGTTCGTCAAGCTGCCCCGCCTACACACATCCTGACAGCCAATGTTTGCCTGCCCTGGCTGTTTTTTTTTTTTTATCACGCTCCGCGGGCCGGATTAAAAGGTCCGCCGGGCCGTATACGGCCCGCGGGCCGTAGTTTGCCCATTGCTGATCTATTAGCTGAAGCTTGACCCCCTCTGTATGAGTGTAGTATTTCCCCCTCCCCCCCTCGCTCTTGATGTATCTTATCTGTAGCCTTTTTTTTTTTTTTTTTTTCTCAATCCCTTCTAACATTCTGCTTAAACTTTGTGATTTGTAATAGTACTGTTTGGACTTTGAAGAAGGGGACATTCCCCGAAAGCTTGTCCTCAAAATTGTATGTTAGTGCAAATAAAAAAAAGTATCACATCATTACTCAATTGTTTCTGTCGCAAATGCACTAATACGGCTACAATCACCTCAACCAGATATGTAACAAAGGTATAGAAAAAAAAACAGGCCTTGCTAATCTGTTTCTGAAATTCTAGATATCTGTAGTGCCTCTTGACCACTAGTCAGATTTAAAGCGATTCTAAACTCTAAAGCAGCCTTTCTCAACCAGGGTGCCTTCAGGCTTCTTCAGGGGTGCATTGATAAGGAGGACATGGGGTGCATGCACATCATCCTTGTTTGCCCCTCTCCAATCAGCACTGGAGTCACATTAGCAGAGTGAGGGAGAGAAACTGAGCGACACATTGGAATACTAGTCAGTACCAGTGTGCAAAGGTTTATTTGCTTTGGAAGGATAACTTACCTCTAATGTTGGGTATCCTACATGTGTGTAGAATAGTTTTTGACATTTTAGATTGGGGTGCCTTGCGATTGTGCAGAGTTTTAAAGGGTGCCTTGAGAATATCCATAATTTTAAAGGGTGCCTTGACTGAAAAAAGGTTGGGAAACACGGATCTAAAGGTGTTTTTTTTTTACCTTAATGCATTCTCTGTGTTAAGGTGGAAAAAAAAACCTTCCATTACTAGTCCCCCCCCCCCCCCCCCCCCCTTAAGGCTATATGTACACTGTAACGTTTACTGGCAGGAGAAAAATCGTAAACATTTTCCCGTATTTAGCGCTTGGATGTGTATTCATTTCATTGGCCAGAGTACTTGCAATTGAAATAATAAACATCCAAGCGCTAAACATGGTTAACGCTTAGGTTCGTTTACACACATTTTTGCAGCTTTTGACTTCTTTTGCCAAAAGATTTCTCTCTTGAACGCGATTCTTTTGCATTCAGGAGAGGGATGTTGAACTTCTCCTAAACTCTGCTGCTGCTGAACTCTGATAAAAGCCTGGATACACACTTGTGCAGTGCGGTATATCACATGTGATTCGCACAGGAACCGCACCGCATTCCTGTGCAAATTGCATGCGAATTCTGTGCGGTGCGATTTGAGCCATACATTTTTTATGGCTCAAATCGCACCGCATCCACACCAAAAAAGGTGCAGGACCCTTTTTTTGGTCCGCACTGGAATCTGATTGCATGGGTATTTATACCTATGCGATCCGATTCTGCACATCACATCGCGTTTTGCGGACTGATTTTGAAGGGTTGTTAATTTAACATACACACCTGCAGCAGTTCGCATGAACGGGGTGCGATTGTAATGCAGTGCAGAATTTGCACAGAAACCGCTGCGAATTCTGCACCACATCAGTGTGAACCCAGGCTTATTGAATTAAGTTTAGGATCTTTGGCAAAAATCACACCATAAGCTCCTAAACTCACGTAGCAGCAATGTGCATGAGGCCTCACACTTACCTAAGTTCAGCTGCAGGTTTTCCCCAAATTAATGGACTGCCTTGCACATGCAGATATGGGCTGCACGGGCCGCACTAACGTGAACCAGGGCTTAGATGCTTACCAGTTCTTTCAATTAAACTGCTGCTTTCTTCTAACTGGTAATACTTGTTTCTTTTGTTTGTTCTTACAAATGTGTCTATGGTTTTACTCACTCTGTATCTGGAGAAGGATTAGCTTTTTTAGCCTTTTGAGTTTTTTTTTTTTTTTTTGCATGCAAATGTTATTTTTCAAAAAGCAGTATAAAATGAAAGGGCGGAGATTAAATTGTTTGTTTGGTGAATGCAAACCCGTCTTAGTAATGCTGAGAAATGTGCAAGTTATCACGGCCCTATCTTGCCAAATCTTTAAGTGGATTGATTTACTGAAGGAAATAGAAGATGTGAATGCTTGTCATGTACTCTGGAACAAAATTGAAGTGGGTTTAGTAGTTTCCTGTACTCTTGTAAACATTTCCTTTCCACCGATCAAAGATGAGTAAAGGTCTTGCTGAGCATGTAAAATAACTGCCATATCGGAAATGCTTCACAGCCTTATTTCATGGTAGGGCCTTCATAGACAGAGTAGCCAAACAGCTTATACATTCACTTATTTATAGAAACCGTACAGTACAATTTTACCTAACGTTCGGGCAGCCTCAGATCTAATGACTATGTTTTAAACCCCTGAAAAAGCCTTAACATGTGCTCATTCCTTTTCCACACTTGTCATCTATTGTTTGCGGATAGAGTGTATGGTATCTCTTTTTTGCACACATAGTCAGCAAACATAGGAAGATCATACATTGTGCAATTTTCTTTCCTCCAGACACAAGCTGAAGGAATTAAAATTTGCTTGATTCCCCTTATTAACGCAGTCAGTGCTGATGGGGAAATAGCTCCCACAGCAATACTGTGTTCTGCCAGCGGGGAGCGCAGAGAGCATTCCTCCAGCAGAATATAATGATTACTGCTGACTGCTGTAGCCGCCAGCAGTGATTGGACGAAAAAAACCTTACAGGCTAGCTGTATTGAAATCAGTCGATAGATCAACTTCAGTACAACCAGCCTGGCCATAGATTGATTTGATTTTGGCCAGTTCAGCAGGAACCAGATGAATTTCAATCCATCTGTGAACGGCTTTAGAGCTTCTTCATTTATCACAATTTGTCTTCTAATACCAGCAAACAGTCCACTGCAGTAGTGGGTTGCCAATTTTTAAATCCTGGAAGCTCTAGCTCACTTAGATATTAACAGATTGTATGGATGTATTATATGTAAGATGGATATCGAAGATGACGTATTTATTCAGATTTCCTGATGTAAACTACATTGTGCAAAGTGAGCATTAAGTGGGAACACACAGGTATATCAAAAGCACATTGTTATTAAAATAGGCGTGCAAATTTGATCAAACAAGTTAACAAGGATAAAAGCTTTTATTGTGTTTTTTGATTTGTTTTTTGTTTTTTTTTTGGTTTTTTATTGATTTACCACATATCTAGTTAGTTACTGTGTATTATTTCCTTATCTGCAACATTTTTCTCCAGAAAGGGTATGTGCGTTATTGTCCAGGTTAGATTACTGTTCCAATGAAATCTCCAGATCAGCCTTTCTCATCCTTTTGGCCATGAAGGAACCCTTGAAATGCCTCCAGTAGATAGTGTTGTTTTTTGTTTTGTTTTTTGGGGGTTTTTTTACACCCTCTCTCCTCTATACAACAAAAATTATTTTTCATGATCAATAATTATAATATTAAAAAAAAAAAAAAATAATGGCTGGAAAAGAAATTCAGAAAGTGAAGATTGCAGTGTCTCCTTATAATGGTCGTTAGTGGAAGAACGGTCCCCTTACATTGGCAGTCAGAAGGAGAAAGGTCCCTTACATTGGTGGTCAGAAGGAGAAGGGCCCCTTACATTGGTGGTCAGGCAGAAAAGGGCTGCTTGCACTTGTGATCAGGTAGAGAATAGCCCCTTACATTGGTGGTCAGTGGGAGAAGGGCCTGCTTACTTTGTTGGTCAGAGAAAGAAGGGCCCCTCAGACTTGTAGTCAGAGGAAAAATGGCCCGCTACATTGGTGGTCAGCTGGAGAAAGGCCCCTGATATTAGGGGCCAATGGTCAATGGTAGAAGGACCTACTTACATTGGTGGTCAGAGAAAGAAGGGCCCCTTACTTTGGTGGTCAGTGGAAAAGGGCCTGCTTGCATTGGTGGTCAGTGGGAGAAGGATCCTGTTCATTGGTGCTCAGTGGGAGAAGTGTCCTGTTACATTGGTTCTACGGGGCCTCATACACTGGAGATCAGGGGCGTTGGTTTATTATTTTATTACAGGAACTTATATAGCGCTGACAATTTATGCAGTGTTTTACAAATAGTTGGTTGTTAGTAGGAGAAGCGCCCCGTTGCAGGAATCTATGGAAAAGAACCCTCCAACATTGGTGTTCAGTGTAGGAAGAGAGCGCAAACCATTTCTAGAAACCTCCGGATTCCAGGTTCATTGGAGCCCTTATATTTTTATTATTTATTACAGATATTTATATAGCGCTGCCAATTTACACACACACACAATTACATTTACATCAGTCTTGGTCTTCAAGGAACTTACACTCTAAGGTCCCTAAACTCACATTCAAACCCTTGTTGAGAATAACTGCTTTAGGTTGTATTTCTGCTTTTTTTTTTTTTTTCCCCCTTGCTATATGAATAATAGTGTGAGTATATGCATGTAATTGTATAGCTTTTCAATAAAAAAAAATCTGGCTGGTGGAACTCAGTTGTGTACATTCTTCTCCCGCAGGTATGCCCTAGTGGACTGTCTTTTTTTTCCATATTGCATCAAATATGGACACGTGTACGAGAAGCCAGCTTGGCCAAATGAAGCCTAAAATATCGGTGAAAAAAGAAGTAAGTTGCTATGTTTATGTGACATTGTATGTCCTGCACTAAATCAAATTTTTGTATATATGTCTGTGTGTGTGTATGTATGTGTGTGTGTATGTATGTATGTATATATATATATATATATATATATATATATATATATATATATATATAATTTTTTTTTTTTTTGGTCTAATGTGAGATGTAGTAACAACTGACACTTATAAATGACCTTATTGAGATGTATACCCACTATTTATTCTTGGATGTCAAATGTGTTTTTTCCTTGTTTAAAGAAGAACTCAGCCAAGCAGTATCTGACTCTCTTATGATTAGTTTTGTCCGATGGAAATGTTTTTTATCCTCATTGTCAATAACAATTTAGTATAATGTCTGTATTTGCTGTTTATGCGCAACACAAAATACATGACTTAGGCTGGCCATACACTATACAATTTTCTGTTCAATTTCTACCCAATTTCCTTTAGATTTACCTTCAACTGTGTAGTGGAAGGTCTTGCCTAATTGGATACAATTGAAAGAGTTGTTTAGGTTTGACCTCATATTATATGGTTTTTGGTAAATCTAAAGCCCTTTTCTAAAGAAAATTGTATAGTGTATGGCCAGCCTTAGTTCTTGCATCCAACACACTAAGGGTTCGTTCACATGTGTCTTGATTATGAAGAATGAAGCAATGCTCAATAACGCGCCTATACTGTAGACTTTATGACATGTTTTTGACCTGTTTTTGTGTTGCTTTTCTAGTTGGAGGTGCTTAAAGGGGAATTGTTGTTGAAGAAATTATATACTTTGAGGCGTGAATTGGTTGTGGTGTGATGGCGAGCGTTTTTGTGCATTCTCTTCAAGATGGATCTGTATACTTTGATCTCTTTGACACTGTCAGCAAACTCAATGTTGCTGAAACAAAAAGAAATAATGCTCAATGCCTCTGCTCCTACCTGGCAGTATTGCTGGCTGGTTAACCACTTGCCCTCCAGAGGATTTACCCCCCTCCTGACCGGGCAATTTTTTGTGTTCCGGCGCTGCATTACTTTAACTGGCAATTGCACAGTCATGCAGCGCTGCACCCAAATGAAATTTATGTTGTTTTTTTACCCACAAATAAAGCTTTCTTTCGGTGTTATTTGATCACCTGTGCATTTTTTATTGTTTGCGCTATTAAAAAAAAAAAAGACTGACAATTTTGAGAAAAAAAACTATTTTTTTTACTTTTTGCTATTAAACATGTCCAGTAAAAAAATTAAATCAAATTTCATCATAAATTTAGGCCAAAATGTATTCTGCTACGTCTTTGTTAAAAAAAAATCCCAATACGTGTAAATGAATTGGTTTACATAAAATGGCGGTATCTATACCATTAAATTTAAAACAACAGAGTGCAGCGCTAAGTAAGATGAAGAGTCAATAAGGTGATAATCAAGTGTCCACAATAGTACACTGTAGAAATACGGATTCCCACGGCCTTCACTCTGTCAGAATAACAGAAATGCGCACTCACCGGAAACGCATGGGTTATGCGCATGTGTGATCATGCATCACAGGCAAAATGGGTACATCAGAGGTTAGGTAGCCAGGCATCTCCCTCACGGAAGGTCATCACAGAATCTTTAGTCAGATCCAGGGGGTCCCCTTATGGTCAGCCAGGTACTTCATAAAAAACCTCTCTCAGGATGGCAAATTGTTTTCTCTGTGGGAATGAAAGCTCCAAACAGGAGCCCCAGAAAACAGATGCCAGAGATAGTGTAGTATGTCCAAAAAGGGTAAATGTTTATTTAAAAAATAAATACAAATACATAAATAGGGTACAGTCTCCCCTCTGATGATGTGCCTGTAGCACGAAAGGCCTAAGGAGGAACTGTGCAGAGCGTGACGTCATCTCACCGCCGGAGCCACGAGGAGGCCCGGCGGCCATCATAACTGGGGTCAGTACTGCTGTATATGTCTTTATATGGTGTATAACATGCATACTGCCCTGTTGCTTTTTTAAATAAACATTTTTATGAAGTACCTGGCTGACCATAAGGGGACCCCCTGGATCTGACTAAAGATTCTGTGATGACCTTCCGTGAGGGAGATGCCTGGCTACCTAACCTCTGATGTACCCATTGCCTGTGATGCATGATCACACATGTGCATAACCCATGCGTTTCCGGTGAGTGCGCATTTCTGACAGAGTGAAGGCCGTGGGAATCCGTATTTCTACAGTGTACTATTGTGGACACTTGATTATCACCTTATTGACTCTTCATCTTACTTAGCGCTGCACTCTGTTGTTTTAAATTTATTGTTTATGTTTGAGGCATTTTGGTTGCCTAAAGTGTTCTAGCTGCTGATATTTATGAGAGCGCTCACTATCTTTTATATTAGGTATCTATACCATTACTGCATTACATACCACCATTACTAGTAAAAAAAAAATTCCAGTATCTATACTGGAATTTTTTATTTGTAAAGGCAGTGATCAGCGGCATTATAGCGGGACTGTGGTGGGCATTCTGACACCAATACAGTGATCAGTGCTAAAAAAAAAAAAAAAAGCACTGACACTGTGCTAAAGGCACTTGGCAGGAAGGGGTTAACGTGAGGGGTGATCGAAGGGTTAACCGTGTGCTGGGAGTGTTTTACTGAGGGGCGGTGTGTTAGTGCTTCACTGTTCTGTGCACAGCCATCCACAGCAGTGTGCCAGAGCCGACAGGGAGGAGGACTGTTCATAAACAAAGCAGTCCTCCTCCCATTTGGAGATGCTTGGTAATCACCGGGGGCCGGCGGGGAATCACCGTCCAGGACCCGGTGATTCACAGCCGTGGCCGCGAATGGTGGCGCGGGTAAGGTGCGCGCGCCCCCTACCCCCCCTACCAGAAATACAATATCATGTGTGTATATATACATGATTTTGCGCACCCCTGCCGCCCTGCAGCAGTATTTCTGTCATAGGGCGATCGGGATGTGGTTAATGCTTTTGCCTACACACAGAAGAAAATGGTGAAAACAGGAAGTGGCTGGAGTTGCTCTATACAAGCAGGAAGTGGCTGGAGCTGCTCTGTACAAGCAGGAAGTGTCTGGAGATTCTCTGTACAAGCAGGAAGTGTCTGGAGATTCTCTGTACAAGCAGGAAGTGTCTGGAGCTGCTCTGTACAAGCAGGAAGTGTCTGGAGCTGCTCTGTACAAGCAGGAAGTGCCTGGAGCTGCTCTGTACAAGCAGGAAGTGCCTGGAGCTGCTCTGTACAAGCAGGAAGTGCCTGGAGCTGCTCTGTACAAGCAGGAAGTGCCTGGAGCTGCTCTGTACAAGCAGGAAGTGCCTGGAGCTGCTCTGTACAAGCAGGAAGTGCCTGGAGCTGCTCTGTACAAGCAGGAAGTGCCTGGAGCTGCTCTGTACAAGCAGGAAGTGTCTGAAGCTGCTCTGTACAAGCAGGAAGTGTCTGGAGCTGCTCTGTCCTAATTCTTTATCATTTCCCAGTACATTCTGGGATACAGAAAGCTCCACTGCTTCTCCCCCAGTGCCCAGCTACCACTTTATGAAATGCTTCACTAACATGGGTATTATGGGTGCTGTTATGTGTCATTACAGAGCTTTACCATCAAAATTTAATGAAGGTGGCTGACAAGCATTCATGCCTCATGAAAGGGAAATTCAGCTTAATTTTTAACTAGGAACTGCAGCAGCCACCTCCTGGTTGTACAGAGCAACACCATTTGCTTCTGTGTGCAGCCAGCAATACTGACGGTGGTAGGCAGGAGCATAGGCACTGAGAATTATTGTCCGTGGCAAAGCTATTTGATCTGGACAATGCCAAGTGTAAAAGAGATCAAAGTATATGAATCCATCTTGTAGAGAATTCACTAGAATATCTGCTATCACACCACAAGCTAACCATGCCTCAAAGTAGATCATTTCCTCTACATCACTTCCCCTTTAACATCTTGACACCAGCAGTATGCATTTACATGCGGCCACGCGGCAGGAGGACCCTTACGCTGAGCGGCCAAATATATGCAGCCCTGTTAAAACAACTTACCTTGCTGAGAGCACTCTCCCTGCATGCTCTCCGCACAGTAGCCGGTGGAGTTTGGTAAGCTCCCAGTGCATACTTGTGTTTGGGAGCTTTCTGATCATGTGACCGCTGTCCCTCCTAGCTTTTTAAACGCTTAAAGGGCCGAGAGCGGTCGGTGCGAAGGGGTTAAGCACTAGAAAAGCAACACTTACATGGGCATTTATCAAGCATTCTTGAAGAGTTTTCAATTCTTCAAAAAAACACAACGAAAAACATCAGAAATGCTATAGGTGCGTTAATGAGCATTGCTTCATTCTTTATAATCAACACATGTGAACGAGCCCTAACCTTTCAGTCCTAGTATTACCTAATTCAAAGAGATTCTGTCATCAAAACAAAAAGGAATCTGCTTTGGTATAAAGTTGCACATGTCTACAGCAGCCATTAAACCCCTTCTCTCAGAGCCAACACCCAGGCTCTTCTTCCAGGCTGAATTCAAACACTTATGATTAGTTTGAAGCGCTAAACCCTTCCTCTACATGTTCTGATTGGTCCACCAATATCAGCCTTACTTGCCCAATAGGAATATACAGAAGGTAGGAATGCTCACAGCCATGTCATTCTTTCACAGAGATCAGTAAATGAATGAACTACAAGTCCCGTCTGCCACTTCAGTAGATGGACTTGTAGTTTTCAAAGGAAAACAAGTACTGTGACTTGTAGTCCACTGATGTCCGCACTTGTAGTCCACTGATGCTTTCTCCAGCCCTCCAACAGAAAGTCTATGATATGGACAGAGAAGAAGAAACTCCAGGTGCCTGGAATTACACTGGCGAGCCACTGTTTGTGGGTGCAATGCTCCTGTGAAAAATGTAAACACGCTTCTTCTTTTCTTTTTTTTTGCTAAATTATGTGAAATTATTAGTAGGTAAACTTGGCCTTTTAAGGACTTTCCGATGCTTGTTCTGCTTTAAAGTGAACAGCAGCTTATCTGAATAATCCGATGATTTTCAGCTGTCTGTGTGTGCTTGTGTGGTTACTTGTTTCACTTCCGCTTTTTTCTTTTCCAGAATATCAGCGAGGGGCTGCTGAGTTCTATGAAATCAGTACTTCAAAGTAGGAAAGAGCTGTGTTCTGTCACAGACTGTCTGAAGAGTGGCAACAAAAAGGATTTCATTGAGGTCAGTTTTTTCCACTGCTAACAGTTCAGTTCTTTGTATTTGTTGCATAGTGTTACCACAACACTACACAGTACATTGCATTACTACGGAGATCCAAAGCCTTTGTCAGCTTGTGAGCTCCATCTCTATAGAACATGATTGTGAGCCATGTGAACAAAATAATATAAACCACTGTGACAAGCATATTTGTGTACGTAGGTGTTCTGACAGTTTGATACAGGCTTCTTGCTCAACTGCTGCTACAGTGAATGTAATCTGTATGAGCATCCTGAGCTGGACTATTTTTTCTTCTTCTTTGTTGTATTCTGAAAATATGGGAAATCAGCTGCTTTGGAAATGAGGTTTTACACAGTTATGGCCACCCAGGCTCCAGGCCATTGCATTGTTTAGCTTCTATACCTTGTAAATGGTGTGAACTTTTCAACTAAGAAATTGGAGGAAGTGTATTCTTAGCATACTGCTTGTTAACCGGTAATACTATTGTCTAAGCTTGCTGGATTCCTTTAGCTAAACGACATTTAAAGAACATTAGAGTATTATTTACATCTAAACTGGTAGCACAACCTAACCCTAGTTTCATTTTAGAAACCCATCCTTTAATCAAAACAAAAACTAAGCAAATTATAATTTTAAAAAAAATGTGAACAAGCACGATTGCTATCATTACATTTTTCATAGAGAACAGCAAAGTGTGGGTTCTATTAACTGGGGTGAATGTAGAATAGTTGCAGATGCAGTCTGTAAAGTGGCGGTGAGCAGAGAATGATGAGGCGGCGTAGTGCCAGTGAGTGCAGAAGTGCACATCAGTGCAGTGGTAGTGAGTGCAAAACTGCACATCGGTGAAATGGCGACAAATGCAGAGGTATACGTCTGCACAGCTGGAAGGAGGGCATAAATGCTTGGCCATGCAGCGGCGGTGAGTGCAGAAGTGAGCGTGGCCATGCAGCGGCGGTGAGTGCAGAAGTGAGCGTGGCCATGCAGCGGTGGTGAGTGCAGAAGTGGGCGGCCATGCAGCGGTGGTGAGTGCAGAAGTGCACGGCCATGCAGCGGTGGTGAGTGCAGAAGTGCGCGGCCATGCAGCGGTGGTGAGTGCAGAAGTGCGCGGCCATGCAGCGGTGGTGAGTGCAGAAGTGCGCGGCCATGCAGCGGCGGTGAGTGCAGAAGTGAGCGTGGCCATGCAGCGGCGGTGAGTGCAGAAGTGAGCGTGGCCATGCAGCGGCGGTGAGTGCAGAAGTGAGCGTGGCCATGCAGCGGCGGTGAGTGCAGAAGTGAGCGTGGCCATGCAGCGGCGGTGGTGAGTGCAGAAGTGAGCGTGGCCATGCAGCGGCGGTGAGTGCAGAAGTGCGCGGCCATGCAGCGGTAGTGAGTGCAGAAGTGCGCGCAGCCATGCAGCGGTAGTGAGTGCAGAAGTGCGCGGCCATGCAGCGGTGGTGAGTGCAGAAGTGCGCGGGTCATGCAGCGGTGGTGAGTGCAGAAGTGCGCGGCCATGCAGCGGTGGTGAGTGCAGAAGTGCGCGCGGCCATGCAGCGGTGGTGAGTGCAGAAGTGCGGCCATGCAGCGGTGGTGAGTGCAGAAGTGCGCGGCCATGCAGCGGTGGTGAGTGCAGAAGTGCGCGGCCATGCAGCGGTGGTGAGTGCAGAAGTGCGCGGCCATGCAGCGGTGGTGAGTGCAGAAGTGCGCGGCCATGCAGCGGTGGTGAGTGCAGAAGTGCGCGGCCATGCAGCGGTGGTGAGTGCAGAAGTGCGCGGCCATGCAGCGGTGGTGAGTGCAGAAGTGCGCGGCCATGCAGCGGTGGTGAGTGCAGAAGTGCGCGGCCATGCAGCGGTGGTGAGTGCAGAAGTGCGCGGCCATGCAGCGGTGGTGAGTGCAGAAGTGCGCGGCCATGCAGCGGTGGTGAGTGCAGAAGTGCGCGGCCATGCAGCGGTGGTGAGTGCAGAAGTGCGCGGCCATGCAGCGGTGGTGAGTGTGCAGAAGTGCGCGGCCATGCAGCGGTGGTGAGTGCAGAAGTGCGCGGGGCCATGCAGCGGTGGTGGTGAGTGCAGAAGTGCGCGGCCATGCAGCGGTGGTGAGTGCAGAAGTGCGCGGCCATGCAGCGGTGGTGAGTGCAGAAGTGCGCGGCCATGCAGCGGTGGTGAGTGCAGAAGTGCGCGGCCATGCAGCGGTGGTGAGTGCAGAAGTGCGCGGCCATGCAGCGGTGGTGAGTGCAGAAGTGCGCGGCCATGCAGCGGTGATGAGTGCAGAAGTGCTCGGCCATGCAGCGGTGGTGAGTGCAGAAGTGCTCGGCCATGCAGCGGTGGTGAGTGCAGAAGTGCGCGGCCATGCAGCGGTGGTGAGTGCAGAAGTGCGCGGCCATGCAGCGGTGGTGAGTGCAGAAGTGCGCGGCCATGCAGCGGTGGTGAGTGCAGAAGTGCGCGGCCATGCAGCGGTGGTGAGTGCAGAAGTGCGCGGCCATGCAGCGGTGGTGAGTGCAGAAGTGCGCGGCCATGCAGCGGTGGTGAGTGCAGAAGTGCGCGGCCATGCAGCGGTGGTGAGTGCAGAAGTGCGCGCGGCCATGCAGCGGTGGTGAGTGCAGAAGTGCGCGGCCATGCAGCGGTGATGAGTGCAGAAGTGCTCGGCCATGCAGCGGTGATGAGTTCAGAAGTGCTCGGCCATGCAGCGGTGATGAGTTCAGAAGTGCGCGGCCATGCAGCGGTGGTGAGTTCAGAAGTGCGCGGCCATGCAGCGGTGGTGAGTTCAGAAGTGCGCGGCCATGCAGCTGGTGGTGAGTTCAGAAGTGCGCGGCCATGCAATGGTGGTGAGTTCAGAAGTGCGCGGCCATGCAGCGGTGGTGAGTTCAGAAGTGCGCGGCCATGCAGCGGTGGTGAGTTCAAAAGTGCGCGGCCATGCAGCGGTGATGAGTTCAAAAGTGCGCGGCCATGCAGCGATGATGAGTTCAGAAGTGTGCGGCCATGCAGTGGTGATGAGTTCAGAAATGAGCGTGGCCATGCAGCGGTGGTGAGTGCAGACGTTCGCGGCCATGCGGTGGCGGGGAGTGCAGAAGTGCGTGGTCATTCGGGGGGGGGGGGGTGAGTACAGAAGCGCGTGGCCATGCAGTGGTGGTGAGTGCAGAAGTGCGCGACCATACAGCGGCTGGGAGTGCAGAAGGTTCGCGGCCATGCAGTGGCGGGGAGTGCAGAAGTGCGTGGTCATTCGGGGGGGTGAGTACAGAAGCACGTGGCCATGCAGCGGTGGTGAGTGCAGAAGTGCGCGACCATACAGCGGCTGGGAGTGCAGAAGTTCGCGGCCATGCAGTGGTGGGGAGTGCAGAAGTGTGTGATCATTCGGGGGGGGGGGGGGTGAGTACAGAAGCACGTGGCCATGCTGCGGTGGTGAGTGCAGAAGTGCACACCCATGCAGTAAGCATATCAGTGCAGTGGCTGTGAATGAAGAAATCTACAATTGCAGTGGTGGTGAGTGTAGAATAGGGCATCTGTACAGTGGGAATGTCTGTTCATGAAAACAGTTGACACTGCAGCTTCTAGGGACCCAGGCTATCAGCCTCATGCAGCTGCTCCTCAGTAGATAAGCCTTAATGGAAATTTACTGAAGCACAAAGCACAGACATATTGATGAACATAGCTAATGCCCTGAAGTATTTTGCAGTGTCAGGTGACTGATCGTGGCTGTAAGTGCATATGTATGCATGGGTGGTGTGGTGGCAAGTTAAAATGCCAGCATTGGTACAGTGAGCATATCATTGCACTGATGGACGGTGATAAAGTGCCTGTTCATTGACTGGGATGAGTACAAAAGTGAGCACTGGTGCAGTGGTAGACAATAGGGTAGAAGTATTCTTTGATGCTGTGGCAACAAATGCAGAAATATGCATTGGTGCAGTAGGCAGCATGTATATGAGTGGCAGAGAGTGAAGAGGTACACATCGGGAAAATGTGATAAAACCTAAAATTGCAGTGCATGTGTGTGTGCATGTGTGTGTGCGTGTGTGCGTACGCGCATGTGCATGTGTGTCCGCTCGCTTGTGTGGCTGATGTTGCAGCAAGTGCAGAAGTGTGTGGGGGCATGTAAGGCTCTGAGATCAAGTATGTTGCTGAAGATGGGTCACCTGGAAGGTTACGTAGCAAGTTTATAGACTGCATGTCCAGTATGGCAGCACACCGATGTGCGTATGACCAGTGCAAGTCTTTTGAATCATCTTCTCAATCTTCACAATAATTAACCACTTCAATACCGGGCACTTTTACCCCCTTCCTGCCCAGGCCATTTTTCAGGTTTCAGCGCTCTCACACTTTGAATGACAATTGCGCGGTCATACAACATTGTACCTAAACTCAAATTTTATAATTTGCTTCACAAAACTAGAGCTTTCTTTTGGTGGTATTTAATCACCACTGGGGTTTTTATTTTTTGCTAAATTAACAAAAAAAAGACCGTAAATTTTGAAAAAAAACACGTTTTTCTTTGTTTCTGTTATAAAAGTTTGCAAATAAATAATTGTTCTTCATAAATTTAGGCCGAGATGTATTCTGCTACATGTCTTTGGTGAAAATAACCCAAATTAGGATGTATTTTTTAGTTTGTAGGAAAGTTATAGAGTTCACAAACTATGGGATAGATCTGAATATTGATCAATCCTGAAGTACTGACAGCCAGTCTAATTTCTTGAGGTCCAAGAATGTCAGAACAGTACAGATATCCCCCAAATGACCCCTTTTTGCGAAGTAGACAATCCGACGTACTTCATAAGAGGCATTGCGAGTTTTTTGAAGTTGTGTGTTTTTTGTCATTTTTCAGAAAATGAAAACATTTTAAAAATTTTCACTATTTTTTTTTTTTTTTTTACATACTGTCACCAGTGCAGTACAGCGTCGTCATATAACTGGCATGGTGGTGATCAGGGACACTGACTGGTGACAATATGGAAAAAAAAAACAAAACGTATTTTTCGCTCCATAAGACGCACTTTTTTCCCCCAAAAATGGGGGGAAAATGTCAGTGCGTCT